CGTTTCTCATTCATTTCAAAACCCAATTCTCTCGATTTCATACATAGAAAGAGAGATTAGTCATGTTATCAACAGAAAGATCAAAACTTGAACCAAAATCAATTCGAAAACCACTTCAACCCAAGAATTTTAATTCAAATGATGAAAATTTTCAAACGAAGAAGAAACCAAATCAACGGCAGAAGTGGTTTGAGATAACTTTAGTAGAAGATTCTAATAAAGAGAATCATGGTCACCCCATTTCTTCTATTGTTAAAAAGATTGAACCTTTTGATTCTTCACTTGCAGAGGAATTGAATGTGATTCGTAAAAGACTTGAGAGGTTGAAATTGGAAAAGGCAAAGACAGAGACGTTGTTGAAAAAAAAGGATTTAGTATTGGAAATGGGATTGAAAGAGATTGAGAAAAGAGGGGAATTGCAGAAGAAAGTTGAGATGGAGACTGAGAATGTGTTGAGATTGAAGGAACTCAGAACATTCTGCCTGGTGAGTTAATTAGCTAGAAATTTTCAAGAATTTTTTTATTCTAATTAGTTTGATTGTTTGCGAAATTAATCTTATGAATACTTTTTACAACAGAGAACTCCAGCAATTCAATCACTCCGAGAAAGAGAAGAAGAAAAGAAGATTAAGGAGGCTGAACTAATGGTACATATGATTAGACTTCTCTTTTGTCTTCTGTATTTGATTCATTCTATATGATTTGTTGAACTCACTAATTGACACATATCTGATTGTTCAGGAGAAATCAAAGGAAAATGAAGCGGAAACCTCGGAATCAGTTGATTAGTTTGTAAATTGTAAAGCAGATCTTCAAGCTTTACTTGTGCAGTTCATGTTTGCCCTTATTTTTATGCTAGTTATGAAATCGAAGAACATAAGAAAATCTACGGACGATTTCTTTATGCTCGAAGAAATATCCAGTTCTGTTATTGTAAGTTTTATTTTGTTTTGAGTTTTTCTTGAAGAATGACAGTGTATAATTTTTACATAAAAATTTAAAGCATTTTTCTCCTTACGTTTCGCCGCTTTGCGCACATATCTTGTTTTTTTAAATTAGCTTATTAGTTGTCCATGAACATACTGTATATCCTTTAGAAAATTTACATCTCTTTCAGTAAATCTGTAAATGTATCAAAAAAATTTGGATATATAAAATGTAAAACCCAAACTGCTAGTATATACCTAAAACCATTTCTGCAACCTGGATAAGACCATTCTTGTTCCTTAGTCTGTAATCTGTATTGTTCACGTAGAACTTCTCCCATATACAGTACTCTAATTGTAAGTTGAGAAGGTTAAATATATATTCACATTTGAAAATTTGTTGTTCTTTATCTCTGACAATTGTTATTTTGTCGACACTTAGCGTTGTCAAACTTACGTGATACATGCCTTAGCAACACATCAGATTTCTCTCATTCTCTGTTGATTGTTTACTACACTATTACATGTTTACATGTACAGGCCTTAGCAACAAAATCCTTTTATGATGTCAGATTTTCAGCCATGAACATATCATATTCAACAAAACCCTTTTAGCTATTGAGTTGAAGGAAATGTGACAGATGCAATAAACGCATTAAATTCCAGAAATTAGAAAAGAGAAATGGCATTAATTATTCAGGAATTGGAAAAGATTTGGAGTGCAATGTTTGAATCACTAGCTAGAATCAAGAAGTCCATTCCAATTCTTTATGTCATTGGAAACCTTCACTATAACACATGTATCTATCCCAACAGTGAATGCTCTCCAAAGTTCAACATCAATTGATCAGATTGAAGTTCATGGCAGAAAACAAAATGATCAGCATTAGGCTTCTAATAGATAAGGAGAAGAACAAAGTTCTGTTTGCTGAATCTGATAAGGATTTTGTGGAGTTTCTCTTCAGTTTTCTCACATTGCCTATTGGTACCATCATCTCATTAGCCAACAAAGAGTCAAATCTCGGATGCGTGGATACTTTGTATAAGAGTGTGGAGTCTCTTGACAAGAAGTTACTACAGACTGAGTTCAGCAGGGAAATGTTGCTGAAGCCAAGAAGTGCTTCTGAAATTAAATATAAAAGTCTAGCATTAGATTTTGATGCTAGTACTCAAGCCCCTAGGTACTACCGTTGTCCAACATGGGCTTGTTTCACCAAGACTCACTGTTTAATTAGTATGTTTGAAAATGCTGAATGTCTTTGCGGACTGAAAATGAACAATAAGATAACTGTGGGATCGAACGTCATTGACGACGATAGACTCCGTGGGACGTTTGTGAATGGAATTGGGAAATTTTTGATATCTGACGACTTGGAAGTCAGACCAGTTTCTACTTGTAGTATTCTCTCAATTCTTTGCGGCTTTGGAATCAAGAATGGAATTGTCCTTGATGAGAAGATAGTTGATGTTAGCGTTAGCATCGACGAGGTATTTCTG